CGATTAATTAATTCGCCAAGAACTTTCTCGAGCGCAAAGTCAAGATTATTCATGTAGAGTTATCAAAAAACACGGGAATTGGAGAGTTTTGGGTTTATTGTGACATTTTTCTCGGGTTTCACTCCACAAAATATTTCCCATCTGAATAAACTGAGAATCCAATATATAGGTTGTCGCCTAGAAAAAATTCCAGGAGAAAACTATCCCGGAAATAAATTCCCGGAAATATTTCCTTTAAGAATATACGAAATGATTACAGAGGTACATATTACCGAGGTTAATTTTAAATATCCATTTCCATCGAACTTTGAATTATCATCATCGCATCATCTACAGATATTTCTAGATTTAATGATTCAACAAATAAAACGGATTGACAAAAATAATTCATGAACAGATTGGAGTCGCTAGACACTTCTACTCCAACTCGTCAAAAACTAGAGAAGACAAAGCCCTAGAACTTGAAGTTTGGTGCTCTCAAATCATCAGTGGACATCTACAGACATTCATAGATCTGAAGAGGCTCTTCTGGAACTACAGCTCCACTGGACAGCGGACACTGTTCTTCAGCTTCGTTGCACTCACCAGAAGTAAAAGCTACTGTATACCCGCGTGCTCATTCCACCGAACTTTCCAACTCCACTTGAGAGTGACTGCATCCCTTGTTACGAGCTGGTCATTCTCTCAGAACTATGTTATATCCAGTATAACTGACCCTTCATGTTCTCCTAATGTATGCTAATATTGGACTTGCTCATTTATAATAATCGAACGTACACTTTAACTTTGCTGTTCAAAAATGCGTTTCAAAAATTATTGAATTTTTTGAATTTAATGAGAAATTCTGCTAATGAGGTGAACATAATTAAACATAATAAACATAAAATCAAAAATATACACGGTCAATTAGGTGGCGCATGAAAATTAATGCTTATTATTATCATTAAACCATATCTTTTGAGTAATTAGATGTAATTCTTGCGTGAGGATAATTCAAAGGGTTTGAAGCATTCACAACAAAGAAATAATTCCGAGGCGTCAATGTAAGGGCGGATCGAGCAAAATAGGTATTACGAAAATTCAGAGGATTTCCACGAATATCTCCGAATATAGGAGATATAGAAGAATTGTTATAAGAACCTTTTTTGTAGAACAACATGAGACTCACAAGAAAGTCCCTATAAAAATTTCGCTATCTACAATGACCTAAGAGATATCCAATGAAAGCTGATTTGATACATCATCTCAACGTTTCTGCATTATTCATCTGCAACTGATGTTGGGTGAACAATCCACATTTATTTCGTGGCATTATTGAAAACTAGTCTCCATATTGCCCGTGCTCCCCTAATTAGAGGATTATCAAATAACATCACAGAGGACTGTTGTACCCTGCGTGGGGGGTTCTTATATTTATTCTAGGTTCTAGGCTCGAAGGGACGAATCCTACCAATAGCTTATAGGTATTTTAATATGAGAGTTTATTACTTTAATTATGTCATCTGCCTTCAGATCTGGATCTGCCTTCTACATACCCAAACAGCCTCTTAAATACATAATTGTTTGTTTGTCATTACTTGGTCAGCATAATCCAATTACGCTGGCAAGTGTCACGCTGACAATGCTGGATGTCCAAATATTTAACAATAACCCAATTAACCAAAATCTGGGGCATAACAAGACAATTGATGAGTTTTCTTGCATGTTAATGAATTTCAGTGGATTTATCGAAATTCTTTCACTTCCAGATTTAAATCATACGTAATGCACATCTCGAAATTCAGAAGTTATAACAGATCTGGAATTCTCAACTTTTTACCGAGGGAATCGGATTGTGGAGAGTTCTCCTTCAAACGTCAGAACTTCCCACACAGATGAGTTAATGGATTGAGAATGATGAGTAAATTTAATATACATCATGAAAAATAAACGGAGGTTATGGATTCACAGGTCTGAAGTTTCTGAATGATAAATGATGGAACTGAAGTTGCAGACCATCGATCAATAGACATATTTGGATTATTAAAGAATTTTTTAAAAATCCAAACAAGATAATAAACAAATGGATATGGTTCTATTCAATCAGCTTCACGGACTTATTGATTTCATTGGTGATGGTGTTGTCTCATGTTTCCTGGGATAATTCTTGTGGGAATTCAGTTCGGTTCAACATGTGGTATTAATGTTTTACCTGATATTACGCATGTATAGTTAATAGTTGTGGGATGGTATTCGCTGGCCGTTTGTTTAGTTTATTGCGAGGGAGAATAGGTTCTTTTTATTCTGAGGGTGTCATCAAGGCTTTAAGTGCAGTCATGGTGTACTTTCGATTGCGATTGGTCATGAATTTTTACGATTTCTTTCAAGGGAGCAATTAAACTGGCGAAACGGTAATGGAATTGGATACTCAGGGCTATCAATGATCCTCATCACTTGATTTTCGAAATTTTAAAGGACGATCATCATCAAATTGTTTATATCTCAATAAATAATTGAAAAGGAATTCTTCTATTATTTTTTATGAATTACTGAGTTCATGAGTTTGAAATTCCTAATGTTTTAAATTGCAATTATGAAAATATTATTTTCCTGTGAACTCTCGAGTCAAAAATGATACTCATTTGTCAGATTATAATTTCCACTTACCAATAGATTCCCTCGGTGGAATTCCAACGGCTGCGTAAGCAGCAAAGTTCATAAGCCCTAGCACGACCACGACACTCCACATTTTTCACTAATTACCTTCGCAAAATCACAGACTTGCGATGAATCAACACTTCACATAATCCACATGCTCCACTTTTCCCAGTCTCAAATATTAAATCCACTCTCCATTACCGGTGGCCCTAATCTCTCGTAATTAATCAATAATTATGTCGTCACTGTCACCACAGATGTCTCAATCTGCTCATCTACTCAACTTAACGATTCTTAATTATAATTATTTATATTCTGATTAACGTTACGTGAATGTTGAAAGGAGCCCTAGTTTCATTACATGGAACTTGAAAGAAATGCTTTCAGTGCATGAAACTTGAAAGAAACCGTACTTTCATTACAAAAAACTTGAAAGAAGCTGGAGTAATATGAGATTACGCTCAAAGTTGCTTTCCACACACACGAAGATGAAGGACAATACCTCCAGCATCCTAACTATTCACCACCACCATCAACCATTGAGGTCCACGACCACTGGGGCAAAATCAGCCCTGTCTGTGGGTTATCCATCCCAAGAAGGATCTGTTACCACCATAACGAGTGTACCACCTGTGACAACAGTTTTTTTACTCAATATTATGGTTTTTTTTTTCCCTTCCTCTTCTTCGCCCGATACTTTTGTTCACGTCAGAAGCAGTTGGAAACTGGCGGATGAAAGATGATCGCCTATTGCCTCGATTTGTTATTCAAGAGACGATACACCGATCGTCATAGATCAATTCCCATCCCAAACTTTCACCGTAACTATTTTCTTTAAAAATATTCACATGCGCGAAAATAAATTAGAGTAATTCCTCGAGTAATTGAAGGTTTATAATTATACGCGGGGGAGACCGTAATTAAACGCCCGACATTGCGACTGAAAAATTGGGGAATCTTATTTAATTATGACGTTGGAGTAATTAGTTCTTGTCACTACAGGAAATTTTCATAGTATTTTTTGGGGGAAATTTTTTCCTCTTGTGTTTAACTATGGGGGATTTTATTTTATTTTTAGCTTGAGTTATTTGAATATGTACTCAGTGGGGTAATTCCATATAATAGCACGTGGTACTCGACCGGCAGCGGACGGCACACTGACGAAAAGACAGGGTGAACCGCGCCGCGACAAACGCGCACCCTCCAACCCTCTAGTTCGTTTTCTGCAGGGTTTAGTGCAGGGAGTGTATCGTGTGTACTGATAAGATTCGATTTATTATGATTTTGTTAATAAAGTTATTGATTCAGTGTTGTGAGTAGATCATGGCCGAATCCGCCATCTTATAGTGACGCTGGGGTCAATGCCGAGGGAATAAAAAGCCCGGGAAACTGCGACAAATATTCACAAAATCATTTTCTTTCATAAATCGAGTTTTTCCTTGGAATTAAATTCCCAAATTTTTGAAGATGCCCAGATGTGATTGGAATTTTAACCACAAACTCCAGATTATCAACTTGTTTTTTAGGTTAGAATCCATTAGATTATTCGTTTTGTATGAAGTAATTGTTTTTGTGTTAGATTTCTTTGCAATATTTATTGAAACTATTTTCTGAAGGCGATGGGGTGAAAAGTTAGTCATTCTCTATTTTGTCTTTGAAGAATATCATTGGAGAATAATGAAAACAAAACAGTGATTAAAAAATCATTGCGCAACGGAAGTAATTATAGTTGTCACGTCAGTTTTAGTATCAAGCGTAATACTCGAAACGTCACCTCGATGTAATTTATTATAATGCTAAAAATAATTGACAGTGGATTTCAAATATTATTAAAATACTGTTCTAAATCGGTAATGATTCGTTGATTCGGGCATATGATTGAGTAAATGACACCATTATTTATTAATTTATTGAAGGACTAAATAGTTGATGGAGGTTAGAATATAGAGTGAATAGAACTATGAAGAATCTTGGAGGAGTGTGAATAACTAGTTTCACGTGAACTTCTTGGTAATTATGAATTGAAATCCGTCTGGCAAGCTTCATGAATATATAATGGTCTCCTTGAAAATTATATCTGACCTTCCATGATTAGTTTAATTGATGGAGTAAATCAATATTTTTCCATAATTGAATTGAAATTTATTTTAAGATGGTATTAAATAAGAAGGTAGGTTTATAGTAAATAATTTTAAATTGTATAGATTCGTGTAGACATTCTATTCACAACTCGAATTTTAAGAAATTGTCTTATACAACCGACGAATAGTTCATATCTAATAAAGAATGAGACATTCGACATTAATCTGTTGAAACTTTGAATGATATATTCAAATCGTATGTTAAAAAACATTTTAAATTACTTGATCATTTAATTTATTTATTTAAAATATCACCCAAATTCAATCAAGAGTTGGCAAATGAATGTTCGTAAAAATGGGACTACAATGACATGAATGAGGATCATTCGATAGAATATTAAACTATTCAATTTACTTTGACATTTAAAAGTATCTTTAAAAATAATTGAAATACTCAGATGAATATCAATGAAGTAAATAAAATTATTAACTTAGCTGGACAAAACAAATCCGAAAATAATCATCAATCTCAACTACCACAACAATTTCTATTCGCATCCTATGACTAATTATCACAGCGATCGACAAAAAAATTATTAAAATCCTTTCAATAATTTGACCGGAAGTAAATAAACGCAGTAATTAATCAAGATCGCTTCAATGCAAGATGTGATTGCACACATTTTTAATTCATCAGTCTATTAACATAGAATAATTCGCGAGAATTTTCCAATATTTGCGGATGTAATTGAAAGAAAAAATACAAAAGCGAACAAAAATCATATAACCTACAAATTTTCCAAGAGAATATTATGTATCCACATCATCCACTAAATTACGGATGTAGATACCATTATTTCTGTGATATCATTAAATCGGAAGAATGATTATGTTCAAACAAATATGTAAGAGTGGAAAATTACAGCATTATCCTATGATCATCCCAACGTCTGTTGTTTCGTGTCACAATGATAAATACGTGTTCATAACTCAGATTCGTGAGGTGAGAAAGTTACGAAATTCACTTAAAGGTGGCACCACTTGTCAAGAAGAGATTGATCGACTAGACGAACAAGAAGTTCCAAACACTGGATCACTGCTCTAAGAGTAAAAAAATGTACTTTATTTTTGAAGTATTCCAAATAATTGGAGCTTCATAATTAAAGAAATGGGAAAAATACAAAAATATTTTTAATCAATGATTTTCGATGGGACTTCAAAGCAAGTGATGGGATTGCCATCTTCAACCAGCGCCCAGTAGACGTCCAGAGAAACCTGTAAAATTAATTCATAAGATTAATATTTAATATTAATTATAATCAGTTGCCGATTGAATTATTCATTTTTATTGTCATTTAGTTTTTTGGTGTCGTATGTACGACTGCCCCATGAGGTGACATAATTTAGATGTAACATTGTCATTAAATGTGAATTTATTGCATCAGTAAAGGGTGATTAATGAGATCATAAAAGTATTTTTGTCCTTTTCGTATACCCTAAGGGATTTTTACGATCTATTCCCCTCGTGCCAGTCAACTCTCTGTACCGCATTCACCGAGGGCCAAAGAAAAACCTTTCTTCAGAGTAAATTCCATCATTACAAAACTTTAAGTTGAAATTGAAGTTTCTTTCTTATTTTGCATTATTTAAAAATACTTTTCGTGTGAATAATGCATTATTATGTAGATTACAGATTTCCAAATTATGAATTTAGCTTTGAATTATCTAAAAAACTCCCTCATGAATAACGTAATTAAATTTTTCAATAACTGTCACAAACAATGTTCTGCTCGTTACGTTTTACCACTTCTGTTGACTGGAAATTCAATAACCCGCCTTAATAATCATGCATATCAATATCCGGTACTCCCAGTGTATGACGTAATGATACTGTACTCAGTAATGAGCCAATTTTCGATACGGGAGACTGAAAATAGACTGTTGGTCGCGTGAATTCCCAGATAATACCATTACATCGGTACTTTCCAGCGAGCTAGTTACACGGATTATTAGAACGACAAAAACAAACTCATTGAGCGTTTGAATGACGAGAACACATGTAAAAATTAAATGAAAAGCCAATATCAATTTTTAAACAAGTAGATATTCCAAGAAGTCGACAATTTTGAAATTACCGCCGGTTTCCTATTTTTAACAATAAAAAATCTGAACCCAAAACAAAAATTATATCAAAACTCTCACAAAATTTCAAGTTCATTCCACAATGAACATTAACATTCTGTTAATTGATATTCGCAATTCAGTATAATAATCGAATTCATAATTTTGAATGCAATTTTTCTCTTGATGTAATGACCTTGAAAAATGGACTTGAAGAAAGTAATTGATTTACCTTGGGATAAATTTTCCGAACAGGAAATCCATTCTTGTAATGATACTCAGTGCCTGCTTTCAGTGGACACCCAGCAACATTTCCCTGGGCATCGTAAACATGGTTGCATGCATCACTCCCATCAACTCCGACAAATGGTAGAGGTAATCCGAGTATTGTTGCATGGACAGAAGTCTTGAGTGATTTAACATCCCTATCTGGTACAAATTTCTGTTCAATCTCTACCCTAGTACCTCGTTTCAATTCGCATGGTGGCTCATCACACTCAGTTATCACAGTGGACTTGATGGTGTTTCCTCCACCTGCAGAACAAAAAGGGAATCTAAAATAATTATACTCCCATAGAGATCCCATCATTACGCTCCAACAGTTTCCATTAATAGCCGAATATCCAAATATTGGAACATGGGTGCAAGTGAATAAATAATTTTAAGAAGCCGTTTAATATTTCGATAAACTATTCTTTACTAACACGAGGAAGGCACGTCTTCACTAGAGGAGAGTTGTCAAGAGACTGAGGCTGACCATAAAGGCGAAAATTGTAAATGAAAAACAAGAATAAAAGTTAAGGTTTATGACAGAAGAGGATACAGTCCTGGTTTAAATTTCCACACATGTTTAGCATTTTTGTACTACAATGGAGGATCTGTACTCAAATATTCCAACACCAAATATTTTCTCCTGCCACATCATTCGGTCATTCGGTTTCCAGCAAATTGTCATAAAGAAATTCAATTGACACAATTAAAAAAGAATGAGTCATACTGTTATTTGAATTTTATCTTATTACTAATTGACTGGAAATCAATTATATTTTCCCATTTATACTGTCTGTTGTTATTTTCTAGAAGTAACTAGTAATTACGCATCATATATCTCTGGGCAATTGCGTAATGCAGTTTTTTTTTTGAATGAATCACAAATCTTTCCAGTGGTAATTTCATGTTCCGAAGGACTTCACTCCGTTATTGATGTCGATGTATGATTCCTGCATGCATTACGTTTCTTTACGGATATTCATAAAAGACGGGCTTAAATATGCAGCTGCTGATCCCCAAAAAAGCGAATTAACTCGGAGTTATGAGTTTATTTAACGATTGTACTTGCGAGTTTTATGTGATAGTGAATACTTGGATCACGTATATTTCCGTGGTAATTATAATTATTCCTTTGTTCGACTACTGCCCCTTTTGTACTATGAATAAAGATTAGCGTATTCGGTCGATAGAGAAAAGCAAGGATTTATGCATATGAACTGAGAAAATCGGATGAGAAGTGAAAAAAAAAGTCGACTATCATGACTTCGGACCCTGATATACTTTATTATTCGAAAAGAATGTAGTGGTTCACCCTGAACTTGGTGGGGGGTAGCAGTCGATCTTGAGATACCTATCTATTTATACATTTATAAACTGAAGCCCAGAACTGACGAAAAAAAATTATAAAACAATGTTTCAGTTCTGCGAATTCAATTTTCTCCGGTTGTTCACGATAAATAAACTATTTCATTAAATAGAAGATTTATGCGAGTTTGAAAAGTTGGACAAATATCAGCAATTGCAAAGTTTGATGAAAAGTTTAATGAACCTAAACTCAATAATCTTCTTGATACGTAGCTAAAGAATTACTTTTACCTACGGTAATCCGGATGAATTAAACCTAAACAGAAACGTCATGCGACACGCAAGTTTTCAACTCCCAAGAGACATTCACCGAGTTTCTATATTTTTTATTCTTCCCCTGCACTTCTTCCATGATTTTATAACGATATATGGTAATTAAATTGTCTGCATGGTTTATTTGCGTGCAAAATTAGACTCGAGTTGATTCCGAGGCCGACAATTGCAGGTAATGACTCGAGAATTACGACCAGTGGACGTTTCACTTCGTCCTTCATTCGATTCTCATTAAGCAAAAAATTCGACTCAACAGAAATTCAATTGTATCAATAATTAATGATCTGAGGAAAAATGGAAAATCTTGTGGCGACAAAAATTGCAAAAATACAAAAATAAAGGTTTCTCCACTTTTTTTCATTACATGTAATCGAGATAATTGCAGGTACACGGAACGATTTATTTAGTTAATTTTACGATTTTTGAATTGTAAAATCCATGGGTAGAATTAGAACGGTGGACCATAATGAAGGATTCAGCGATTTTACGATTGTCAATCGTTATTTGAAAATAAAAAGAATGCTCCAAATCAATTCCTTTTTTTCTTATTACATTGATGAAGAAAATTTCCAATTGTGTGCGTAGATGAGAACCGCAAAAAATATCCAATGGATAAATAAACATACCATTTGCGCATTGCTTAACATCCGTGGAATCCCCCAGGGCGATCAAACACAGAACAGTCGTGAATACAAGCGTCGTTTTTCCAAACATCTCAGCGAAAGTTTTCTCTGCCTTCTGAAGAGTAGAACTGCAGGATAATTATCTTCAAAACTTGTAAACAGACTTTCACACGAAAGACAGTCTGGCACAACGAGTGTCTAACGACTGTTCCGATCTCTTGATTCTTCGACCGCTCGAAGGAGGATGAGGAATCGAATAGCGAGTCTTAAATACTCTGTACACAAGTCAAGATTCTTAGCTATTGAAAAGAGGGGGAAGATCAGAGAAACGTCTTTATTGCAAACAGCGTGGCCTCCTGAACTTCGTAGGCACGTGGTACTCCACGAAAAATACTTTTCTAGTATTTTTATCAGCAATGATATGGGGTGTGAATGATTTTTTTCTGTTGCAAATGTAAATTGTATGCAAGAATTTTTATCATGGATTTTTTAAATATCTAAAATACGTTTCTCCTGCAAATGTAATTAAACGATAATTATAATTCTAAACGATGTGAGATTTTAATTTTTTTATAAAATTGAAAAAAATGGAAAAACCTAGAATATTTAGTTTAAAAAAATATTATAATGTACCCTCCGGAATAGAATGGCAATTTTTATTTGTGATTGTTATACTTGCAGTAATAATAATTGATGATTCAACTGCAAATTGTGAGAAACTGGACGAATTAATTATAAAATACATAAATAATTATACTTTTTTTTCTGTACATGAAATAGATCATGAATTCAATAGTTTATAATGTTCGAATCTCATTGTATCCGCAAGTATTTATTATTTTTTTCACTATGAAAAACAACAAATTGAATTTGTTTAATTAGTCAATCAAATTAAAATAGAATGATTTTAGACAAACATTTTATCGTTTTATACCGAAAAATAACGTCGATCAAACATATCTCCTATTGATTAATATAATTACAGTCTAAAATTTCGTCGATACTTTTCCAATCGAATCGAAAATCAATGGTTTTGTAAATGGATATCGACATCTTCACTCAGCCGAAAATATTTCCTACAAATAATTATTTATAAATTCCTAAAAAATATTTTTCCATGTTCGCTCATTATCACTACAATTAAACACTAGTATGGAATAAAAACTATTATTCTATGATAATTAATATGACCAACAATTTTATTATACAACTCGATCTTTCATTTATTTTTAACAATTAAACTTTAGTTATTTCGATATGATGTAAGCTAGGTTGTTAATTTCCAATATTTTTGCTGAGAAATTAGTTAAAGTATATAGAGGGGTATGAGGTCTGGCCCAAAAACAAGGCCCTAGGGTTGGTCCTCGTGTTCGGTTGTTTCAGTCCTAAAAAACCTAAATATTCGGGTTAACGTCAAAGATATTTGCAACATTATTATTAACCTTTCGTTTGGTAATGCATTAACAATTTACCCCTAAATGGACATATTAAATTTCATTACTTGCTAATCAACGACCAAGCCACACGTGCACAAATAACATATTGTTATCTTTCAAACTCAGACGGAAGAAAAATACAAACTTCATTATCCGTGACAGCAATACTTGATACGTCCCCAGGAATTTAGTGACGATTCTATTTTTGTATGAATAGTATATTTATGGTTTTTATGATAACGTAGAAAAGACAGGCTCATCGTCACTATTAATTCGATTATCTTCGATTCCAAAATTTTTCAACGATAAGCGAGTGGAAAGGTTACATTCATGGGAACAGCTAGTTCAATGGCTTTGTGGAAATATTGACTTAGGCACTTTGCTTTAAACGTGTTTAAACTTATTCCACTCTGACCGTTGACCCAGTCTCAACGGTCGTATTTACTTAATGTCTTGCAAGTGATTTCCCGTCACTCACTCCAGTCTCATGATGGTGAAAAAATTGAGACGTAAATCATATGGGACAGAGTGCAGAATTTATTCCGTCGTTTATATTGCTCCTCTCAAATGTCAATTTTTGTTTTTATTTCGGTATGTTTGGTTGTAGTTTTTGTAGTGGTGTGGTATTTAGACTCTAAATTTTCGAGTACACACTGGTGATATTTTCATTTGGAATATATTATCAATGATTATTGCAGTCGACCCTGTCAGAATCACGTGAATGTCACGCGTGCGCGGAATCAGAAATTATTACCGGGGGATAAACGAACCCGGAATTTGTAATTATTTGAGTATACATGTCAGGGACCTTTAGACAACTAGTCGCCAGGAAATTGCCGGAATATCATAAATTTCTCGGTTTATTACGTTTAATCCGTGGTTAGTTGTTATTTAAATTACAATTTTTTGGAAATATTCAGCGCACTCCTATCGTAAAATGGTAGTAATGTATGTGACACAATACACGGATTAAAAATCACCCGAATAACATGTGAAATTTACGAAATTTTACGTAAAAATTCATGAAATCCCTGTTAGATTTTAGTTTCCAAAAAAATTGGGTAATTTTTTCGTTTTCCTTTGGTGACAGATCGAAAAATTTTCTGAACGTTTCAGATTTTTCTCTTATATTTCTCTAGTAATTCTCCCAAAATCATTCTCACTTGTAGATTACGTGAAATTTTCCGTCATTTTTCATGAATATGTCTTTCCATCTAATCATTATTTGTAATAGATTCTCGGGTTGGGAATTTGCTAACGAAAAAGTACTAAAAACTATAAAATAGCTCTTAAAATCATGCGATAACTTACAGACGTTGAACGTAAAGAGTCGCCTTCTCCATGTATTTGTTCACGGAAGAGAAATAAATTCAAACCCTATCATTGAATGAGTATCCCCGAGGTCAGCTTTCGCACGTGGATGAAGATCAGAGATCAGAAAGTCAGATATATGAGTCATGGTTTTTCCGTATTAATCCATGAGCATCAGCCAGTTCCCCTACGGACTCTTCCATGGTATTGAGTCTGTCAACAATTATTCCCGAAAATTGCAAACCATGTGGAAATAATGACAACATTCACGCCAACATTTGTTGGTAATGCAGGTAGTCTGTGTGATCAACAGTGCAGATTTCAAAGGACAATACCAGCGAGGGAAGGAGAGGGAGAGGGATTGAGAAAGTGAAACGGAAGTGCCCACCCCTCCACCTCTTTTCGCCCGCCCGACAGACTGAGAGTGGGAGGGAGTAAAAGACGGCCAATGGAGTGTGGAAAAGTGAAGATTTCGTTCTCTTCCACCGCATTTTTTTACAGCTGTCTTTCTTACTCGGGAAACAATTGAATGATGAGTACATTCCTTCACTAATATCTCAACATATTAGTATATTATGCAACATGTGCGTAATATATTTTTTGACTCGTGGGAGGTTTGTAACACGAGCCGAAGGCGAGTTTTACAATCCCACGAGTCGAAAAATATATTACGCACGCGTTTCATACAAAATTTTATGTCATTGCGCCCGGAATCCGCGATTTAACCGAGCGAAGCGAGGTTAGAATCGCGTGATTACGGGCACCGATGGCATAAAAATTGTTACGATATTTTTTTGACACACGGTGCGTAAAGTGACATTTTACGCACGCTCACAAGCCCAAAAACATTTTCCGCAGTCATATAGAAGTATACTGTTTCCATGTATTGGTTTTGGCAAAAAAAAAAGATTTTGTTTTAGTTTTCGGAAGTCAGGATACAGCACATGCAAAATTCATCGCGATACTGTGGAGTCGATGTATTCCATTTATCGATCATTTCCGTTTCTGGTGTCTCTTTACATTCTTTATTCATTTTTAACAACTGACTTATCACAAACAACGTACTCTGAGAAATATTATCGGTGTCGTAATGATATTATGTAATTTTTCGTAATTAACCATTAAGTGATCCATTTCAGGAATTATTTATAACCAGAAAAACTGGCAAGTGACATGAGAGATTGCCAATTTGATTTTGATTGCCTTTGCCTTATTCTCTGTAGTAGATAACCACGGAATTGTTCACTGATCCGTGGCACTGAGAAGCGATAGAGAAATGATGAATCAGCAATCAAGGTCATCGTAGTTCAACCTTGATATCCACCGTGATAATAAACTTAGCCCCAATGAATTTTGATAATTTAATTTGTCGCGTGGTGTTTTGTCGTTTCGACGTTTGCATTCATTAAATCTAGGAGATCGGGGGGAAAAATTCGCGAATGGAGTAATGAAATCGATGTGAAGTCAAGCAGTAAGTGATGTTGAACAATGCTGATGTCTTCTTTTATTTTCTCCATTGACTCATTTACACTCTTCGCAATTATAAATCGGAAATTAAAGGATTTCAAATTAAAATCGGATAAAAGTGAGAAAAATTTTTCCTTCATTTCCGCAGCATTGTTTCCTGCCGAATGTGAAAGGATCATATTAATTTCCGTCTGCTGACTGAAAAATTTTCGAGGTGATTTCGGCGGATTGAATGGTTATGACAAAGCTGAAGTGGTGAATAAAATTGCATATCATCAATTTCGTAAAGGGCTGAAACATGAGTTTACGAAGTGATCATTTATCTATAATTAATGAATTTTTATGTAACGTTTAGATAGGAATAGAAATTAATTGCACACCTTAATCGATTAAAAATTATTTAAACATCAGAAGAAAAAGTGATCTAGTGTAGAAATTTATAATTATTGTTGAAAATAATTTCTCTTTCCTTTTCGTAATGGCGAAATCGCTTGAAATTGTGGCATAATGTTTTTGAAGCGAGAACAGATACCTGTAAAAAATTTGAGATTGATTTACAATACCGTCTTGTGGTTATTAATTACTGAAGTTTTCAATTCACGCGGTCTGTTATGGGAAAAATAAAAATTTCTTTAAACATACTCCAAAATATAAAATTTTGTCGATATTTTGAAAATTTATTATTGAAGCAAATACAAAAAAATGATAAGATTTTTTTTTTCATTAATTTGTTTGAACAATATAATATTTATTCATAAAATCAAATAGAGTCATTTTCTATAGCTATTACTTAAATTAATTAATGCACTGAAATATTAATTAAAAATTCATTGCGATTATAAAATTATAGAAAGGGTCATAAACTTTTGTTTTGACTATACCTGCAGAACATCCTTAAAGAAGTTAGCGCTGATATCTTCTTATTTTTCACGTTTTTGGGAAATTTATGAGAAATTTTTGTTATGAAATAGAGAAAAATAGACGTGCAACTAATAAAATTCCAAATTTTAATAGTCGTACGTCAAGAAGAAAGAGGATAGGGAGGAGA